AGAAATATCCCTTTATCTCCCAGACATTTCTGAATCTTCCCTGCCGGGGCAAAATCATCCTTGATTGAGAATCACTGTTCTGTAGCATTCTTATTTTAGCAGTTAATCCATGTGGGATTATGCCTTTTGATATATGATTTTTAATGAAATTATTGTTGGTGTGCCATATTTTCATTAACTATTTTTTGTAAATCTCTCTTCTTTGAGTAAATAGCTGATAGATCCCCTACCGACAGGCGCACTATACTGTACTTCATTGCATCTGCCAATGATTGAATGGTCAGTGCCACCTGCTATTGGATGACTAATTCCTTTTGACACGGTGCATAAGACTGAGATGCCTGTGTCTACATTCTGGTTCCACCACTCACTGACCATCACTTGGGGCAAGTTAGCTCACATCTGTATAGATCAGTTTTATCATGCATAAAAAGAGAATAGTATCTTCTTCATAAATTCATTGTGAGGATTAAGTAAATTAATATCTGTAAAACACTAAAGTAATGCCTGCCCACAGTAAACACTATCTGAATATTACCTGTTATAATGTACATATAAAATCAAAGGATGCAATTTAGTGGAATGAGTGATTTCTGTTCCCACAAGAATGTTTGATATGGCTTACAAAATATGAGAATCTATCCAAAAAATTAGAGGATCACATGCAAAAAGTGATCTGTAACAAGCAGTTTGTCAAAATGTAGTGCATGAATGATTGCCAAATGACTAATAAAATATTTGGTATCAGAGAAGTGAAAATCACAGTGGAATAGAATGGGCGGGGGAAGGAGTCACAAAAGAGGTAAAGTTTGACTGGAACTTTGAAAACCATTTGTGAAGAGGTAAGAAAAGAGTTTAGGAGAGAAAGGTTCAATCAAAAACTCAAAAAGGGAAACACCATGGCATATTCTAGACAAAGTGAACAAACAAGTCTGGCTAGAGTAGAAGGTTGAAAAGGACCATGTGTTGGAAAAATGTTCACATTGCTCAACCATCAGGTAAATTGAGATACCACCTCACACCAGTCAGAAAGGCTAAAATTAGTAAGTTAGGAAACAACAGATGCTGGAGAGGATGCAGAGAAAGGGGACTCCTCCTACACTATTGGTGGGAATGCAAGCTGGTGCAGCCACTCTGGAAAACAGTATGGACGTTCCTCAAAAAGTTGAAAATAGAGCTACCCTATGACCCAGCAATTGTACTACTGGGTATTTACCCCAAGGATGCAAATGTAGTGATCTGAGGGGGCACCTGCACTCCAATATTTATAGCAGCAGTGTCCACAACAGCCAAACTATAGAAAAGCCCAGATGTCCATCAATGGATGAATGGATAAAGAAGATGTGGGGTGTATATATATGTATACACAGACACACACACACAATGAAATATTATTCAGCCATCAAAAAATGAAATCTTGTCATTTACAATGACATGGATGGAACTAGAGGGTATTATGCTGAGCGAAATAAGTCAATCAGAGAAAGACAATTATCATATGATCTCACTCATATGTGGAATTTAAGAAACAAAACAGAGGATCATAGGGGAAGGGAGTGGAAAAATAAAACAAGACAAAATCAGAGAGGGAGACAAACCATAAAAGACTCTTAATCATGGGAAACAAACTGAGGATTGCTGGAGGGGAGAGGGTAGGGATGGGATAATTGGGTGATGGACATTAAGGAGGACACGTGATGTGATGAGCACTGGCTATTATATAAGACTGATGAGTCACAGAACTCTACCTCTGAAACAAATAATACACTATTTGTTAATTGAATTTAAATTTAAAGAAAAAGAAATGGACCGTGTGTGAGAACAAAGCAAAATTCAAAGTCCATGTTTTGTCCCATGCAATTGACATGCTCATTAGCAATCAAAATCATTCTTATACATTTTAGTTAGTCGTTATAATTGCCCTTGGTTGCTAAAATATTTGTGGCAAGACCCATAGTCCAATATGAAGCAGAATTGCAACATATATTTCTTTCAACAAGAACAATAATAACTCATGGTCGCTGAATATTTTCTGCATATCAGATAGTGTGCTGAGCATTCATTAGTATGGTTAACTTAAATAAATTAAATTAAATCAATGCCATCCTATGGTAGACCACATTTCACATATTAAATAATTATATGAAAATACTATATATATTCAAGTTGAGTAGCTCACCCAATGTCACATGATCAGTGTCACAGAAAGGCTTCAAAAGCAGTGCTCCAGCTACTGTACTGATATTTTCCACAGGATATCCTCTCTCTGGCTTTTCTTTATAACTTTTTCTGTGGTACATGTGCCCTTATGTATCTCAGATCTTCTGTCATTCTGAGCTTTCTTATTTTTGCTATATGCTGGACACGGCATTTTTTTAATTGGTGCTCTCATTTTTCTTTATACAGTTACAGTCTTGATTAGCATAACATAGCTTTCATGAGCTGTAATATTTCCTTAATGTCTATAATCACTGTCACTCATTCATATGCTGATAATAAAACCCATGTTTCTTTGAAACTAAAATATTTTTAATTTTTAATTACAACATAAGATGTAATGGGATTATATTTTATATTTGCTAACTTTCCTGTAACATAAACCAAAAATAAAAAACTGCTTACTAGATGCAAAATGAAACCAACTTCAACTGATGACAACAATCATGATTATATGTATATATACCCATGTATAGTCTCATGTAAAATGAGAGATAATATTGGAGAAGTAAATTGAAATGTTAATTTAGCTGTCTAGTTACAGGGCAAACTTTACATTATAGCTTTAGGAATCTTAAAAAGTCTTTGAGCGAAGCTGTGAAATGCTGAAACCAATATTTTAGGAAGATAAGTTGGGTATACAGGAAATTGGAGGAGAAAGAAACTAACAAGTAAACATCTGGAACACAATAATCCAGGACTGAGTGTGAAGGTCATTTTTGGTAAAAGCAACATCATTTATAATATATCAGATACCTGGCTTAAGAGAAAGGCAGAATATGTGAATTCTACCAAAACATCATTATTAGCATGTCATGATCATGCTCATAAACCATAAAAGATATATACAACACATCCCATTTCCCTGGTTAACCAAAAACTAGGACTCTTAATCCCATGAGTTTACATCACCTATGCAGGGGAAATGTCTTCCGTCAGGTCCCTTCTCTACTCTCCTTAGAACTCATAGACCTAACTGCCACTGCTTCTCCTTTAACACACACACACACACACCGAACGTTGTCTTTGTGGTCCCATGTTTCTTGGGACCCCATGCTTCTCCCATGCAAAGGACAATCACCCATTTACTGAGGACCCATTGTGTGGCAACTACTATACCTTTATCATCTCACCAAATCTTCAAAACAAACCAATGGTAGTAAATGATCATCTTTATATTACAGAGGAAGAAACGAGGGCTCAGAAAGATTAAAGGACTTGATTAGCACCAGAACCAGAATAAAGAGAAGGGAGGGTGGGGTCAAAAATAATACTTTTTATTTCAATAACACTTTGCTATTTACAATGCATATCCACATTCCTTATTTCTTTGCATCCTAAAAATAATTCTGTTATCAATAGGAGATGGAGTTTTTCAAGGACAATTTCTTGGATAACATTATTTGAAGACATTGGGCCTACACGTAAGTATGAAGACATCTTTCTCCCAAAATACCAGCTTCTGCAGTGTTCCCTGTAATTGGCAACATCCCTACTTCCCTAAAGAGTGTACTGACTCATCCCTTCTTAAGAAACGAATCTTAAATTCGTATCTCTACCATATCTGAAATCACAGCTTTGGAAAGATCAGGAGGCGCAGAGAAATAACAAAAGAAGTTAAAGTTCAATCCACATCCAAGACATTCTTATCTGCTCATGGAGAAAAACCCATCCATGTTGATGTTAGCCTGTTAAGTGACACAAATATGATGAACCTGGCTTCCTACTGAATGTGTGAAAGTGGGTCTGTCTGAAGATGAGAGAGGTGAGATGAGTGCCTGTTGACTTGATTGTTTCCTGGAAAATGTTTTGATTTATACCCCTCTCCCTGCAAAGAACATGCACCAAAGGTTTACCTGAAGTGATCCTCTCAGAGGGTCCAGTTAAAATTTCTTACAAAAGCCTGGCTAGGGCGCCTGGGTGGCTCAGTGTGTTAAGCTTCTGCCTTCGGCTCAGGTCATGATTTCAGGGTTCTGGGATCGAGCTCCGCATCGGGCTCTTTGCTCAGTGGGAAGCCTCCTTCCCCCTCTCTCTCTGCCTGCCTCTCTGCCTCCTTGTGATCTCTCTCTCTCTCTGTCAAATAAATAAATAAAATCTCAAAAAAAAAAAAAAGAAAAGAAAAAAGCCTGGCTAATTCTACTCTAATAATCTTCAGATATAAAACTATCTAGGAAAATCTGAAGAAAAAATCACAATGTATTCGTTATCCGTCTAATATTTCCATGTTCTCCTTCAAGCTCAGAACATTATTTTATGTTTCCTTCTAGACTATGTGTGTGTTAGGGTAAGGGAGGGAGGATACTTTTACGACAACAAATATGGAGGGTGAATCTTGAAAACAGGCACTGGGTCACTAGCTTTATCTGCAGATAAAAACCTACACAAACAGATAATGGTTAATTTTACACCTATTTTTTGTATATATTCCCTTCAGCTCACCAAAATGATTGTCTTCAGAACTTGTGTCCATTATTCCTTTACTGTTTTGCGTGCAGTTGAGTTCCCTGAATGTATACAAGGGTTGGTTTACAGTTAAAAATAACGAGCCTCCACGGGGCCAATGTCCTTGCATGCAATAAAAGGGTGTGGGCTAATTACAGGAGCAGAGTTTGGTTTTTTCCCCGTTTCGCTCCACTTTGATTGGTGGATTGGCACTTTAAATAAAGGTTTCTGGTCTTCCCTGAATGAGAGATACAGAGCGAATCCTAGGCACAGTCCAGAAAAAAATTTAATCTTCTTAGAACTGTCTCGGTTGGCATCACCAGGCCCTGAGAACACAGTGCATGTCAGCATTGAAGGTAAAATGTGATTTTTATGATTTCCATGTGATTCCTATACATTCTTTTTTTCTATCTCTAGGTAGCTTTTATAAAGAGGATTTTTATATATCACCAGAAGCTGAATAATAGTTTATTGTAAACCATTAGCATGGTCCAGAAAAGACATGTCTTTTATACCCTATCAGCTAAGGAAAACAAATCTATAGACTTTTTTTTTTTTTTTTTTTACTGTTTGTTATTATTAGTCAGAGGGCCTAATTTAGAAAGGTATTAAAAGAATGAGCAAATATCTTGGCTAGTCAAATTTCTGTTTGTGTAAGAGTAAAGAGGCTTTCAACTTACAGAATAAACTTAAAGAGATAATTCATTTTAGAAAGAGGAAAAGTCAGGGTACCTGGGTGGTTCAGTTGGCTAAGCATCTGCCTTCAGCTCAGATCATGATCCCAGGGTCCTGGGACCCCCGCATTGGGGGGGACCCCGCTTCTCCCTCTGCTCCTACTTGCTTGTACTCTCTCTCCTGCTCTCTCTCACTCTCTCTTTCATAGATAAAAAATATCTTCCTAAAAATGAAAAATAAAAAGAAAGAGAAAAGCTCAATTGTGAGACGTATTTCCCACTGATGTCAAAGGCGATTAAAAAAATCAGTGTATTCTTATTTTTAAAAAGATAGACTTTGGCATGATTATCTGGGTAACTGAAGCCTAGAGTCAGATGCTCTAACATACCTGCAAGTAAAAGTTTGCTTTAAAATAATTGGTTGTATTATATTTTGAATGCATTTCAAAATTTACTCTGGAAAGAAAGTACATGGATGATATTTAATAGACCAAAATTTCACATAGTGGAAAGGGTTTTCAAAATCATAATTCATTTTACAAAATAGAATACAACATTTAAAGAGCACAGCACAGAAGTTGTTCCTCAGGTTGATTTAGGTTGTAGCTCCATTAAAAAAAATTACTTAGGTATTTTTTAATTGATTGCCAATTAATTCCAAAAACTAGCAAATACAAACAAGCTATTTAGAAACATTTAGTTGTATTTTTTGTTTTGTTTTTTGAAACTGTTTTGGCAGAACAGAGATGCGGCTCATTTGAAATATTGTCTTTTAACCACTCTGAAATAAAAATGCATTTGATTTAATTCTCTGACTTAACTCCGTTTCAGATCCCACTTTTCAAAATGAAGGACCTGATACTGATCTTATGCCTCCTGGAAATGACTTCTGCTGTGCCGGTAAGTCAGAGTTTTTTAGACAGTGCCCTAAGAGGGATATTGTTGGATCCTAGGCAGTGCTGAAGGACGTGGCCTGAAGTCCGTGCATGGACGAATCTGAATTAACCCAGTGGCAGACTTTCTACTGAGTCAAAGTCATAGTTGCCCAGACATCAGTCTTACCATCCAAAAGGAGTAATTCAAATATATAACTTTTCTATTCAAAAAGATATTATAATATTCCAAAGGCAATTTTGAAGTCTTACTCCATTCATTCAAAGATAAAGGACTTCTATAGCCTCCACAGGGCCAGGGCACCCTTTCATTGTCAACTACTTGCTACCTTTATGTAATTGAAATGGAGAAGAAATTCCTCCACAAAAGCAAAGTATGTTTTCTTCATTCTTAAAAGAATATTAGCCAAGTTATGATGATTCCAAAACAGAGCTAAAGAGATCCATTTGAATCTAGTAATTAATCAACAGATTTGTCTTGTGGGGGAGATACTGTGTGACTGACAGCTTAAGTTTCTTAAGTCAAAACATGCCACGGCAATGGGGCTAATTGTGTGCTACAGTCGTACACCAGGTTCACTCTATCACTTATTGATCTGATTTTCTACGAATGCAATCCTCTAAGTCCTGAACTACTCTGCCAGTAGTATGTGTTTCTGTTTTCATGAAGACTTTCTTCAACTTCTATGTGCATGTGGCTGATATTGATTGAGCACTTGCCACGTACCCAGCAATGTGCTGGGCACTGGAGGGATGAAGGTAAATATGACGTGGTCTCCCCTCTTGAGGAACTAACTCATAGTTGGACTCCAATGAACTTTAAAATATTCCAGTTCCCTGAGAAAAGAGCTTAGCTACTTGGGTTTCTTAAAGTTAAATGTCTGGGAGGAAAGGGATAAAACTGTTTACAAGGATGAAAATCTCAATTCTACAAATAAAAAGAGCTCTATTCTATTACCCAACATGAACCTTAAGTGAAAGAAAACTTGAAGCCGCCACCCTAGCTTGCTTTTCTGTGATACTGACATCGGGGTCAGCCTCAGCCATCAACTATCTGTCTAATACTTTGACTCCTTTGACACCTCTGGAACCTATGCTGGTCCACACCTGTGTCAATCAGGTGTACCCCCAAGGGACACAATTGCTTGGGATTGCCAACTGACTGCCTGTCAAGTTAGGTGTTCTCCTTTTACTTCCTTGTTGGAAATGTATCCTCTGTCCATTTACATTCATGTAAATATTGTTTGAACCCTGACTTGGAGCAAATGGAAAGCAAAGTAGACTTTGTCCTGTAGTTGGATCTGTCCAGTGTACCCTATTTGTGTACTGGCCAATGAGAGGATGGAAGACTTCACTCTCGCAGTCCTCTCAAAGGCGAACAACCTGCTCATGTCCCCGCCACAAACACACACATCACTCTTCCTGTCTACACACCTGATCTTTTTCTCTGCATGGAGTATTTGTTACACATTTATAATTCTTTTCCTGTGATCCATTGCTAAAACTGAATTCTTTGGAGAAATTTGCACCAGAGGGTGAGGTTTTATCTGTATAAAAAAGCAAAAGGTGGAGGGTAGATAACATACTCAAGAAACTATCCCTGAACTTCTTACTCATAAAAAACAAATAATCCCAATATATTTAGTGGACACTCTGTCAGTATTTGGGGTATAAATGAAGGAAGGAAGGAGTTAAGAACCTGAGACTCTCAATAATAAGGATTTCCAAAGAACCAGAGACCACCAAAATGTACCCTAATTCTTACTCCTCCATTCTCCATATTTTCTACCAGTATTTGTGCATATTAATAGGGATTGCTTTAGAAAGAAAAATATCTCCCACTTTAAAAAGTGTGTAAGTATATGGGCGCCTGGTTGGCTCAGTGGTTAAGGCCTCTGCCTTTGGCTCAGGTCATGATCCCAGGGTCCTGGGATGGAACCTCACATCAGGCTCTCTGCTAAGCAGGGAGCCTGCCTCCTCCTCCTCTCTCTTTCTGCCTGCCTCTCTGCCTACTTGTGATCTGTCTGTCAAATAAATAAAAATCTTTTAAAAAAAATAAAAAATAAAAATAAAAAGTGTGTAAGTATAACTGTATTTTTAACAACTTTCAACAACTTTTAAATGAGCACATTAAGCACATTAAGTATAATGACACTTGATACTAGAATTTTTAAAATTTTATTTAAAATTTATTTTTAAAAAATCGTATCTTGGATATGACCCCAAAAATATAAACACAGATCAATAGATTTTTACATAAAATAACCTTTCATGAAAGATGACAGAGGATTTGTTGAATCCCCTTGAATGGGTGACAAGTTAGGTTTTGCATTTGGTTTTGCTGAGTGCCATGATCTCAGCCACATTCCATTAACCAGAAGCAGGTAAGTTTGCCAAATGTGCAAGAAAATTAAGCTTAAGTTTGTCCCTTTTGTTTTCCCATGGGATAAATTTTTAGAATACAAAGTACTCTTGGTATTCTATTTTGTAGTTTTATTTTATTTCTTGTTTTCAATGTAACCTCCAACTAAATCAAATTTTGCTGCATTAAGATACAGACAAAGGATAGATGGTTCATGTGGAAACAAAATTATTAAATATGGTGTGAATTCCCCAAATGATTTAAATTCCTCTTTCTTCTGCTTAAAGGCTCAAGTCAAAAGCCCTCAGCTGACCTCTATGTACTGGGTTAGCTTTGTATTTCCAGAGTGCATTTAAGGAAGGTTCTCAACAGAGATCTCAAAATTATTCTTATTTCCATCTAGGTGTTTCCTCAGCAACCTGGGACACCAGGCATGGCTAGTTTGAGCCTGGAGGTATGTATTGTCAGTATAGTCCTAGAGAGAGAGAAACACCATGGGCTGGTTCTGTTTTCCTAGCTGCAAGTCAGGACTTGTCTAGAGAAGCTTCAGAGAAGTGTATGATATTTATTAGAGCCTCATATTATCATTTTACTGCGATTTTAAACTCTCAGGTATCTTAGGAATGTCATCTGTGTGTGAATCAGAACAATACTAATATTTAAAACCTAATATATACTATATCTATATAATAACTATATTAACATAATTACTACATTAATTAAAACATTGTTCTGAAGCCACACATGGTTTATATTTAATTCCATCACCTCATGGTATTTTATATGAAAATATTCCCATGAAGAAAATTTACCTTACAGAATGTAGTTGTTTATAAGAACTCCTATAGATCACACTAACCTTGTTCTATAGTTCTATAGTACCTGTTTCCTACCTTGTGTCTGCCTTCCTGCAGTTCTCATAACTAATAATAGTGCTTAGAAAAATCTCAGCACGGTAGAAATATTTGACCATATCAATAGAAAATATTGACAGTTCTGAATAGAAAAATATTTCTGCAATCACAAATTTTACGTAAGACCTTGCAGAATTTATTTGTATCATGACAATCTGGGGGGATCAATACTTACATAGGCTAGAAGCTTATTTTGAAAGGAAGCTAATTTCGTTGAGTTTTTTTTTCTCACTTTCTAGCTTAAAAATCAACTCAAAGCACTCTGAATCGTTTCCCATTAAATTGAGATTGACTTTTCGTTGAATTGTCAGCATTCTTGGTCATCTATCCAGATGGTCACCATTTTCCCCAAGATTTTTTGTATTCATTATTTTTAGGCCTTTTTTATTTGGAAAGGAGGTAGGGTTTGTTTTGTTTTGTTTTGCCTTTTTTTGTTTGTTTGTTTGCCTATTTGGGGGCTGGATTTATAAAAGGCAAAATAAATTAAGTGGGGGGGGTCAATGAAACAATATTCTCACAGTTAAATTTCTATTTCAATTGAATGAGCTATTTTCCAATGTTTCAATGAGCGCTCCACTTAAATGATAGTTTTTGTCTTATTTGATTAGTGATTTAAAAAGCAAGCTTACTAATTTAATGGCAATAACAACAACAATAGCAAAACCACATTTAACATTTCCACTTCTCAATAATGATTTGTGTCTATTTTTATTTTATTCAAAATGACCCACCACAAACTTTGTGCTAATAATATCGTATGTTGACAAGATAGTTGTATCATACAGAAAATATATGTGGCAAACGCTAACCCACTTTTTTTCTTGCTAGACAATGAGACAGCTGGGAAGTTTGCAGGGACTAAACATGCTTTCTCAGGTAAACCGCGTTTCAAATATCTCTTATTGCAAGAATTAATGGAGGTGGTGGTAGTGATATTAACAACAACATCATAACTCTTAAAATGTGTTAGTGAGTAGACATTATCCTAAATATTGGAAGAAAAAATGACTGAAATAACCTAAAACAAAGTAAGATCCTGGGATGGGATGGTAGGTAAAACAATATGGAATTTTCTTGAGTAAGAAAAAGCTCAAATTTTGTGCCATTAGTTTTATTAAACAGTCCAAAATATGGGGGCTTAAAAAGCTAAATGTCAAGTAAGTTTATGGAAATGTTGCAGTCTGGCTCAGAATGGAAGGGAAGTCTGTTGGAAGAGAATATTTACCCACCCATATTAAATTCACTGATGTCACACTTACTTGTGCTATCTCTACACTTTCTGTGGATTTTATAGAAAATGATAACCAAGTTTAAGCCAATACTGAAATTTTTAAAAGCATGTGGTCTTTTTTTTTTTTTCCCCTGCATGTCTTTAGTATTCAAGATTTGGTTTTGGAAAATCATTTAATTCTTTGTGGATGCATGGTCTCCTCCCACCACATTCTTCCTTCCCATGGATGAGACCAAGGGAACATGAAACTCAACAGGTAGGTTACTTATATCAATATGCTTGAAACTTCAAGCTTAAAAATATTCCCCTCTTGGTCTTCTCTAAATTGTCACAAACTAGCTACGGACAGATAATACTAATGAACAGAAAGTGATCCAAATAGTAATAAATCAAATCCTATAATTGTTTTTAGTACTTGGGAAAATTTTAAATAAAGTGGCCCAAACTTTCAACCTATTTATACGTTTATTTCACATAGGAAGATACGGCCTCCAAAATATAGTAAGAGACTTACATTAACAACACGAACAATAACAACAGATAAACTGTCTTCAAGGTGGAAGCAGACATGGCTTGGACAAACTCCCATTTTAGTCAAGATTTCCCAAATAATTATTCAAAACCGTGTTTAAAATGATGCCAAAGCCCTGGGTAAAATACCACAGACCCTAGAGCAATCAAAAATACATCCTTCAGTTCACCATTAGTTGTTAGGTGTCGCATAACACCTAAGAGAAACGCATAAGCCCAACTGTAGAGTGGAAGTGAAAGTGAAAACGTTTAAGAATGGCTCCAAGGTCCATGAAGTTTCACATCCGCCTGGGGGATAAGACAAGACACTGTAGGACAAGGTGCCAAACTGTGAGGAATAAGTAATAAACGCCGTGGGCGTTTCGAGATACGCAGTAGCTGGAGAGGCAGAGCAGAGCCAGATTAAGGAGAGACTTCCAGGACACTCTGAGGATCTTGCAAAGGATTTAAAAATAACAGGGAGCCCTTCACCACAGTTAATTTCAAAAAGGAACAAATAAACACGGTTGTTTTAACCAGAACCTTTGATTCCAGTAGGCTTTCTGTGACAAGCAGCATTACTCACTAATCCACATTTCATGGGACCATAAATTATGTTAATAGTGACTGTTTCTCCACTTGCTTGTTTCCAGAATGGACTCCATGATGCAGGATCTTGGCATTTTATTTAATAATTCATTCTCCTTTCATTAACAGAAAAATATATATTATTTACCTATGCCAGGCATTTGTTATGAACCATGTTAAGTCCAAGGCCAAAAAGACGAGAAACACATATCATCGTGTCTCAGTGGACTGGGGGCAAAGATAACTAACAAATCTCTGTGATCCAGTGAGAAAGTGGTAGAACAGACATGCCTGTAGGAACTCGGAGGAGGAAATGACGACTCCATCCGGAAGTCCAATAGTTCTCCATATTCTTGAGCACAGGTAGTCCCAAAGGAAGCAAGGGAGACACAACAGAACCCCCCAGATAACACTGCCTGCACATAAATGGGTGCTTCCTACCTAAACATAGCCCCAAGACAATTCCCCTAGACTCTCCTGCAAGCAGAACTTTTCTCAAGCCCTTTGCTTTAGAACTTCTAAATACCACAGCTCAGAGAGCTCTCCCTTCCTGACACTCCTCTCAAATTTCTCTGCAGTATGAATATTCTTTGCCTGTGCATCCCCCACCTCTCCCATCGCAGCCATCCCTGCAGCCCCAACAGCCAGGACAGAAACCCTTCCTCCAGTCCGCTCTTGTGACCGACGTCCAGGACACAGCCCAGAAGGGAGGACCTCAGCCTCCGGTTTACCAGGGACAACCGCCCTTGCAGCAAGTAGAAGGGCCGATGGTCGAACAGCAGGTGGCGCCAACAGACAAGCCACCAAAAGCCGAGGTAATTCCCTTTCTCCGAAGTCAAATCAGGGTTCCCCACTAACTCAGAGGAGGAAAACTGATTTGCAGAGCCCGTTTCGATAATCAGAACTTTCAGGCATAATATACGACAATACAGATATGTTTTTAAGCAGTTGACATATCTGGGAGCAGGACATAAATTTCCATTCCTGTCCTTTGTCATCAGAGACAAGGCATGGGTCCTAAAAGACACCGTTCCTGTAAGATTGTTCCTTAGTTGCAAAAAGAGGAAAGCTTTCAGAGGAAATAGGACAGCCCAGAGAAGCCCGCTCTTCCTATCATCGGGATGTTTTTCTTTGTTGGAAGGGCTGAAAGACGTGATTGATCCCACAGCATTGCAAGTAGCATCTGGGATTATTATTTCTCTGGCTGGTAGAGAGAAGGTGATCATGTAATAACGTAGAGACAAGAGCAGTGGGAAGAAAGGAAGGTACCCTGTAACAAGTATGTGGCAGGCGTTTGACAGTCCCCCATATCATCCTGATGACATTCTTATAAAGATAGATATTATCATCCTTTTTAAAAAGAAGACAGACTTTGACAAGTTATAAAATTTTCCCAGTATTACCGAATAATTCAGGTTATTCGGTAGCACCAGGATTCAAACCAACCTGGCATGCTCTGATTCCCAAACTCATTACTTTCTACTCTGCAAAACAAAGCAAATTCATGGTAGACAAGCCCTGTCTCCCGGCCCATGCACTTGAGACATGACAGTAAAATGCAATTGTTATCTCTTGGATGTACTGTCCAAGACTAAATGAAAGTGAAAATCAGGAAACTCATTTTAGATTGTTTTCTCATAGTCATAAATAAGGTAAGAGTGTATCCAGTTCTATTTTTATGGGTTAGTAATTTTCATGTTTATCTGTGATACAGCTACCAGGAATGGATTTTGCTGATCTGCAGGGCCCATCGGTAAGTACAGATCTCAGTGAGACACTTTCTTGGGGGAAATATCTATACTTCAAGAAAGAAGAGTGCAAAATGCTCATTGCCCCATTTATCCATGAATATGAAGTATAATGCTTTCCTTTGTTTTCTTAAATATTAAATACTTATTTGTTATGCTAATGCACCAGAAAATGCTATTTCCTGTAACTCTTAGAAATGGCCATAATGGGAGGCTTTCCTAAGTTATAGCAAAAATGAATTACTGATTCTGATTTCTACCACTTAAAGGTGTTCCAAATAGCCCGTTTGATATCTCAGGGACCAATGCCACAAAATAAACCATCGCCAGTAAGTTTTTTAAAAATAGGTCTTTGCCTACAATTTACTTAAAATTTTATCTTGGAAAATGCATTTATAATGATTATTGCATTTATATTTAGCTTTATCCGGGAATATTTTACATGTCCTATGGAGCAAATCAACTGGTAAGTCTGTATCCTACAAAAAATACCATTTTAAATTAAATGTTATCTTAAGAGCTAAAATTACAAAATCTAGGCCTCACACAAAAGAGCCCATATTCTCTGAACGCCTAAATGGGCAACTGAAATGGCAAGGAGCCATACTTTCTATTTTAATAACTCTGGCCAGACACGCGCGCGCACACACGTAGCGGCCTTAAAGAAAAGGTACATTTTCTACCTGAATTATCCAAATTGTCACATTTATTCAATAATGACTCATCTCTCCACTTTACTCTGCTTCTGGGCACAGCATTAACATTAAGACTTCAGGAAAAGCTAAGTGACTTTTAACTTTGTCTTGAGTAGCTAATAGGATAATAGGAAGCTGCTACTGATGCCTGTTTCTTTTTGAACAGAACGCTCCCACCAGACTTGGCATCATGAGTTCAGAAGAAATGGCGGTGAGTGATGTCTTCAAATCCTTATTAAAATAGTGGTCTGGGGAGAGTAGTCACAGATGACTTCCTGCAAGAGGCATTGGCCATGAATGTCATTGAATATACTGCACAGGACTCCAGATGGTTCGACTCCAAAACCAAAAACTTGATTCTTATGCAACAGGCAAAGATTTCCCCATGTTTCCCATATCATCATTTCTGAGCAATGACCATTCTAGAACATGGGATTTGCCCCATTTCTTGAATATGAGCAGGGGAGAAACCACTCTTGAAAAGCCATTATCACTGAATAGCATATGCTCAAACCAAAAGAAGAGATATATCATTTGTACAGAATTCCCACTTCCTCTTGGACTATTAACCCCTCGAGACAACAATTCAACTGCGCTGCAAGTCATTTAGACCTCAAAACTGAGAGGTCAAAAAGAAGAAGAAAATGAACAAGTTTATATATTGTCTCATGTTCACTACAAGTGTAGTTCCCCATCTGTCACCATACAACACTTCACAATGTTATACACATGAAACCAACGTGACATTGGGTGTCAACTATATTCAGATTGAAAAAAAAAGAAAAGAAAACCAACCAAGTTTAAAATGTGATCAGTATAAAATCCAAAGTGCATGAATGAGTTCATGTGAGGATATTCTTTTTCTACTATCCATGCATATGACCACTTTGAAATTTGAGACCGATAGACTTGCACAATTTTATATTTTCCCTCAGCAATTTCTACCAGTTACATCTGTTAGAGCACAAATCAAGACAAGCACCATACTAAATTAAGTCATTATCCACTACAGTCCTATCAAATTAATAAATACAGATACACGCTATTAGTGACAGAACACTCGCATCCCAACATTCTAGAGGGCCTTCTGTGAACTAAATGCATAGAAAGACGCTACAGAGGCAACAAAAATTAGATAAGGTTTCTGTTTTCAAGGAGCTTACTGTCTCACCAATAGAAAATGTAGATATAAGGGCAGATAGTGTCAAAATGATGGGATAAAGGGCAACAGGGCTATGAGAGAGGGAGGAGGGAGAGGAAGTTAGCCCAGCCTAGGGGCTCAAGGAGATGATATGAGAGGGGAGATGTACAGAGCGGAGATCCAGGGGAAGGTAGGAGAAAAGAATACTGGATCCACATACCACCAGCTCAACTGGCCGAAAATTCAAGCGAGTATTAATTATCATCTTATAATTTTAATTAATTTATAGTCTGCCTCAATTTATAGTCTGCTCAAAAGATTTTGCTGCAGCTTATGGGAAAAAAAACACAATAAATGTAACCAAAAATTGAAGATAAAATTTTAAATGAGTCAAAATTGTAAGAGAGATTACAAAAATGAAAGTTGTAAGATTCTGCCCAGTCACTATAAATAGCCCAAGATGTTGGGTTGGGCATTTTTGACAGCAAAGGCGGAAAGAGGAAATATGGTCAGTTCTACAATTCTAACTGTCCACAGGAAGAAAATATTTCCACCCCTCCGGAGACATCAAGCTTCTTTTTCTTCACATATTCTGAAAGAAAGAAAGGGAGGGAGGAAGGAAGGGAGAGGGGTGGATGGAGGGAGGGAGGGAGAAAGGAAGGGAGAGAGAGAGAGAGAGGAAGGAAGGAAAGAAGAAAATCTTATGTGAGGTTTCATTTATTTTAGAAATGATGTTGACCTAGTTCTCTAAAACATCCCTCAACAAACTCAGCAACGGATCCATTTTTCTTGGTTTTCTGATGGTATTGTCTATTTTGCCTGCTTATTGTATTCTTAAAATTAAATTCAAACTATCTTTTGCCATTAGCCTTGCTTCTGCCCTGCTTCTCCACATCTCTCCTTCTCCCACTTTCATCCAGACATGGCAAAGGGTGTCCCCCTGTCTTTCACAGAAGTGAGCAACCAGAAAAGTACAAGGTCCTCTCCTTTCTATGTCAAAGCCATTTTAGTGAGAAGTGTGCTCACACAAAGCTCTCAGTCAGCTTGTGTGAGCTGTTTCCTATCAGCTTTTTGTGGTTTCTTGGTGAAGCTGACCACGTATGATTGCATAGTATACTTCATCATATGTGATAATGGTGTCTTCGGTCAATGGTTTTTTTCCCCAGGGAGGCAGAGGAAGCCCCATGGCCTATGGAGCCATGTTCCCAGGATTTGGAGGCATGAGGCCTAACCTTGGAGGAATGCCTCACAATCCAGCTATGGGTGGAGACTTTACTCTGGAATTTGACTCCCCAGTCGCCGGAACCAAAGGCCCTGAGAAGGGAGAAGGAGGTGCCCAAGGCTCCCCTTTGACTGAGGTCGACCCAGCCAATCCAGAAAACCCAGCTCTCCTTCCAGAGGTAGCACCTGGTGCCCTGGGAGGGCTTCTTGCTCATCCAAAGGGCAACGACCGCAACATGGCAAGAGGCCCAGCTGGGCAGAGTGGGGGACCCCTCAGGGTCACCCCAGCAGACGCTGACCCACTGATGACCCCTGGATTAGCTGATATTTATGAGAACTACGGTGCTGATGTGACCACACCTCTGGAAGAAACGCCCACAGATACCACAGCGATCCCAGACACTCAGCAAACACTGATACCAGAAAACAACGCACAGCAGCCCCAGATTATGCACGATGTGTGGCATTTCCAAGAGCCCTGAGAGCCTGGAGATTATCAGCTACCTTCTGTATGCACAAGCTCCCCAGCTTTGTCCCCATAATATATCTTTTTGCTAACACACTTTCTACCCTTCTGCAGCAAAGGCATTGAAAATGCTAAGCATATATTAATAAATATAAGTGGCTAGAAATAGTGTAGGTCCCCTTTTTGCTTTCACTCTCTTACTGAAATAAAATGTGTCGACCGTCTCTATGATTTAGAAACACTATTAATGACATTAGAGCAAGTCTAAGGGTCTCTGCATTGGAAAATCACTGTTTCTCAGCTGTCTTTGGTATTCCAGAATTTCTCTAACTAGCATGACACTGTTATATCCAGGAAATGTGACATTGCTTCGGAAATGTTTCTCTAGGCAAAGGCACATATTTGCAGAATTATGAGATATATCATTCAAACATTAGTAAACAGGGATTGGTGAGCAATCCCTGACTGGTATTACTGGGTTTGGTATATTGGATTTAAAATTCTCATTTGTAGAGTATTTTATTTAATCTAGTAAAAACACTTAGCCTGTTTTAAATAAAGAATTTTTCTCATTGGAAAATATCAGGAATTATACGTTCATTATTTACATATATTCAAATGGTTAAGAAAGGCATATGCATTCCCTACTCATGCTACTCTTTAGCCCATTTTATTTGAGTTGTTCATTCTTTCATGGAAAGTTTACTGAGTATCTACCAATGTCCCGGGCCCTGGCTAGGCAACAGGGACACAGTCCCTTCCCTAGTGCTTACAGTGGGAATGTTTGGACAGCAGACAATCACAATTTGTTCTGCTATAGAAACAGCCACTCGGACCAAATCACCTACTTAACATATATTATCTCACAACAACACTGCAAAGTAGATATTCCCAACCCCACAGCACGTGTAAAAAGTGCTATAAAAATGCCAAGCCCGGGGTGCCCCCAAAGCCACAGAAGCCTAAGAAGCCTTGGAGGGCCTGGAGGGGTCAGATGAGTTTTCTCAGAACAGTATTGAAAGCATTTGCAGAACACGGCCTCCAGGAGGAAGAAACCCAAGAAGAGTCATGTGGGTGCCGTGTGAGAATTAGCTCATTCCTGTGAATTGCTCTGGATAAAAAGGGAACCAGAAAATGATTGTTACTTGTCACCGAAGCTAGGTATGGGTCAGTCAGGACTATTGGCCTAAATGAAGAGGTTCTGAGACCAGATCTGGTCGCCTGTGGAAAGTAGCTTCCTGCCCCATTCTGAGCACCTCCTCCCCAGTTGCCTGGCCAGCTCTTAGACTCTACAGAACTCAGAACCCCCCCTATCCCCTATAGAGATTCTGGGGATACAGCCCAGGAAAGACGCTCTGAGGCCTCCAGACCTTGGATACTTCAGGAGTCTTAGCAGGAGCACAAAGGCACCCCCTGTTGTCTCCCTCTTTTCAGGCAGAGCTCTGCTCACCCCCACTCTGTGGCGGGAGACCTGCCCGTTACAGTTCAGTGTGTGTCTTCTGGCAGCTCCGGCAGAGGTGTGAGGGCAGGAAAATGAGGTCCACGTGAGTCAGCAGACGCCCACTGACACCCCGTAGCAGGCCAGACCATCTCCGACCAAGAGTGCAGTAAAAGACGTATGGACAGATCTGGGTTCGACCTTCATCTATGAGCCTTTGGAAGTGAGACTTACTTCTCTGATCCTGTGTTTTCATTTCTATAATGGAGCTACGACCCAACCCACCTCCCAAGGTTGTTGTGAGAACTATAGGACATGAAGTTCTCAGAGAAAATCGCTGAGTCCCAGCAGTTTCCTCCTTTTCCTACTGGTCCTTCTCATGAAGAGAACCCAGCAAGAGAGCAGCAATGAGAAGGGAACCGAATTGTTCATGTTATCTGATGAATTGTGCTTTTCCACGTACACTCCGCACACCACCGGCTGCTTCTTTGCAGTTGAGAGTGTGCATTTGTGAGATCGCACATGCTGGTTTCCCTGGTGAATGTTGTCATACCAAGGGCTCAAAGGTGGCCTCCCTATTGGCAGACCGGGCACTGAACAGCACTGATAGGTAGATCAGCTTTGACCGGGGGATACTGTGTTGTTGAGCCCTTGAATAACCTCTCTCCCTGCCACCATGTCCACCTCAAACACGGGTCCAGTGAGCAAACACCAAGTTGGCCAAGGATGAGGCTAAATGTCACCCACAGGAGCCACCCTAATTATTGAGAATTCCTCCACGTTGGCTCCCCTCTATCAGGCATTTACATGAGAAACAAATATTTTCATAATAATGAGAAACAAATATTTTCATAATACATCCCATCGCGGGAGGCCCATGCTGATAGCTTGCCGTCTAGACCTCCTTATGGCCAATTTTCCAATTTTACTCTTCAAGGCCCTAACCCACTGAGCAATATGGCACTGAGGCTGAGGCAGGATGAATCTATCTCAGGCCATCTGTCCTTCCAAACAAAATAGACAACCAGACATACCTTTCAGTGTCCTGCCCACTGAGCAGGATTGTGGCACCCTGACTGTGCACTTGCAGCTGATGCTAGAATCCCATACAGAAATCCACAAACCAGGGGCACACTTTTTCCTCTCCATTAACCGATCGTCGATGGGGAAGCCATGAAATTGATTCTCCAAACTGGGACAATTTTGATAATGAAAAGATGTGTCATAGGGCACCTGGATGGCTGAGTCCCTGGGCATCAGCCTTCAGCTCAGGTCATGGTCTCAGAGTCCTGGGATGGAGCCCACATTGGGCTCCCTGCTCAGTGGGCAGCCTGCTTCTCTCTCTCCCTCTGCCTGCCACTCCCCCTGCTTGTGTGCTTGCTCTCTATGTCTCTCTCTCTCTCTCTCTGTCAAGGGAATATATAAAATCACTTAAAAAAAAGAAAGAAAGAAAAGTGGTGTCATGAATGATAAATGAATGCTGACAACGGGTATAAACCAGTACTACCTAGGGCAAAGCGGGACATCTGTTTTCGGGTCTTTATTTTGTTTTGGTTTGTCTGTCTTATGGAATCCCCATGAAGCTAGAGGTGGGCATTGAGGGAAAGGCATCCAGGTCACAAAGAGGAAGTACGTGGAAGTCTGACTCACCTGCTTGTACAATTTGCCGGAGTCCTCCAGGGCCTGCTGAAACCTGGCGTCATATCCACCATCTCCACGTACAGGGGATGCCCACCATCTCCACGTACAGGGGATGCTGCTGCCCGTATTCTGTTTTACGGTTTCAGTGGAACATATACCACCCAGTTCAACAAGCAACTCAACATTATCACTTGGCCTCCCATAGTCAGGCACACTGTCTCAATCAGGGTCCAGCCGTAAGGCAAGAACTTCTTTTCACAAAGAAAACTCCGAAGTTCTGTGCTGTTACTCCCCTGCTAGGGCAGAGAATTCCCTACAGCCACTGATAGTTCCCATCCATGTGGGTCCCTGAGTCACAATGCCCCAGGGACAGGGACACCTAGGCTACGGCATGGACCCCTTTCTTGCGCTAAGTTCTGTTCAAAACTGGCAGGCTTTTGAGTGATATGTGTTATCTTCGAAACACAAAGAAGTCCAACAAGCACTCTGGTTTCTCTTCCTGCAGGGCGGTGGAAGCGGCGGCAGCTTGCTCTCCACTTTAGATCTCCTGACATGGCCCAGACAACCCGACCTCCAGAAATGTCAGCATCCCTGTGAAGTTGTGCCATATTTATCTCCCACCTTCCGGCTTGTGGTTTATGCCAACCAGAACCTGATGAGCTGTGCCTTCAGTGTCAGGGACTAGCATGGCTCCTATGGGATAGAAAGATGGTCCAGCGACCTTAGGACTGTGTTATGACAGACTAAGAAAAGTGACACAGTCCTGAGGCAACACAGTAAAAGTTTGTGTTGTCCCTGACTTTTTTTCTTTTTTTTTTTTGGCTTTGTAAATGTATAATTTTTTAAGTTTAAATTCAATTAATTAACACATAGTGTATTATTAGTTTCAGAGGTAGATCCCAGTGGTTCATCAGTCTTATATAATACCCAGGGCTTGTTACATCATGTGCCCTCCTTAATGTCCATCACCCAGTTACCCCATCCCCCCACCCACCACCCCTCCAGCAACCCTCAGTTTGTTTCCTATGATTAAGAGTCTCTTATGGTTTGTCTCCCTCTCTGACTTTGCCTTGTTTTATTTTTCAATCCATCCCCCGCGATCTTCTGTCTTGTCTCTTAAATTTGACATATGAGTGAAATCATATGGTATTTGTCTTTCTCTGATTGACTTATTTCACTTAGTATAATAACCTCTAGTTCCATCCACATTGTTGCAAGTGGCAAGATTTCATCTTTTTGATGGCTGAGTTGTATTCCATTGTATAGATACACCATATCTTCTTTATTCATTCAACTGTTGATGGACATCTGGGCTCTTTCCATAGTTGGGCTATTGTGACATTGCTGCTATAAACATTCGGGTGCACGTGCCCCTTCGGATCACTACATTTGTATCTTTAGGGTAAATACCCAGTAGGGCGATTGCTGAGCCATAGGGTAGCTATATTTTCAACTTTTTGAGGAACCTCCATGCTGTTTTCCAGAGTGGCTGCACCAGCTTGCATTCCCACCAACAGTGTAGGAGGGTTCCCCTTTCTCCACACCCTCTCCAACAACTGTCATTTCCTGAATTGTTAATTTTAACCATTTTGACTGGTGTGAAGTGGGATCTCATTGTGGTTTTGATTTGTATTTCCCTGAAGCCAAGTGACATTGAACAATTCTTCATGTGTCTGTTGGCCATTTGGATATCTTTGCAGAAATGTCTGTTCATGTCTTCAGCCCATTTCTTGATTGGGTTATTTGTTCTTTGGGTGTTGAGTTTGATAAGTTCTTTATAGATTTTAGATACTAGCCCTTTATCTGATGTGTCCTTTGCAAATATCTTCTCCCATTCTTTCAGTTATCTTTTGGTTTTGTTGACTATTTCCTTTGCTGTGTAAAAGCTTTTTAGCTTGATGAAGTCCCTATAGTCCATTTTTGCCTTTGTTTCCCTT